GACATCCACCCCTCCTCCTGTGTCCAGGCGTTTTGTAACCTGGTCATAAAAAGAAACTAGATTGGTCAGGCACGATCTGCCTGCCACGAACCCGTGCTGGTTTCCCCTCATCATAATTTGTCCTGCCGGGCTCTCACAAATGTGAGCCTTGATAATTTTTTCAAAGACTTTGCCAAGGATGGAGGTGAGACTGACTGGCCTATAGTTGCCCAGGTCCTCCTTCCTCCCCTTTTTGAAAATGGGGACCACGTTGGCCCTTTTCCAGTCCTCCGGGACTTGGCCCGTGCACCACAAGCTTTCAAATATTCCCACCAGTGGCTCTGCAATGATGTCGGCCAGTGCCTTGACTCTGCACCATCTCAGGGTCTACACATGGTAGTCTGGCGTCTTGCTGCTGCCTCTCTACAACCCCAGTGAGAGATTTGTCGTGCCCCTCACTTAGGAACACTGCGGCAAAGAACTCGTTGAGGAGTTCAGCCTTGTCCCCTCTGTCCATCACCAATTGTTTCTGCCCATTTAGCAGGGGTCCTATTCCTCCCTGGGCCTTCCTTTTACTCCCAATATATCTAAAAAACAATTTCTTGTTGTCTTTTACTTGGGTTGCCATCCTCAGCTCCATCGCAGCTTTGGCCCGTCTAACTGCCTCCCTACAAGCACGAGCAGAGGAGGTATATTCATCTTTGGTGATCTCTCCCTGTTTCCACTTTTTATGTGCTCCCCTTTTGTCCCTTAGGCTGCCCTGGATTTCTCTGGTCAGCCAGGGAAGCCTCCTGGCCCCTTTCCCCCTTTTGCCTCGGTGAAGGGCCCAATCCTTTTTTTTTTCCCCAGAGCCTGCCTACCTCTCCCATGCCTGGGGGGCAAGCACCAGCAGGCCTTGAACTGGGGGGGGCTTCCCTCTGTGGCAGCAGCACCCCCTGAGTGGGGAGCCAGTAGGTGGGTGCTGCCCAGGGGCACTACCATTGCAGAGGGAAGCACAGCTCAAGGGCTGCACAACCTGCCAGCTGCTCACTCCCTGGCTGTGAGAGACACAAACAGGCTCCAA